ACCGGTGGGTCCAGCCAGTCCTCCACTGCCGCCTCTCCCTTGGCTAGCGCCATCCCTATTGCCCAACTACTGGCCAAACCGGGTGCCCTTAACGCCCTGACAAGCCTCAGTGCTCTGGGCGGCCTCACCGAGCTACTGGGCGGCCAAGGGGGGGCACCCCCCGTCCAGACCACGGGAGTCCATCGTACCCACAAGAGCTACACGCCCCGGCTCCGCTCACCGGGCGGTAGCGGTTCCGAGGGCTCCAAATTGAAGAACGAGAGGAACAAGTTTAATCCATATTAGGTGTTAGGGCACATTAGTTCTTTTCAACTAAGTAAGCACACACTCATTGACTTTATACTCTTGCATCGTACGTCGGTAACTTTGGGGCCACGCTCGCTTTTCGAATTCGTTGTCAGGCATGTGATTCTCGCGCGGTAGGGTTGCATGTTCCGCTTGGTGTTGGTTTGATGTCGTTCGTGTAACCTCCCGAATTAAAACGTGCCGATACTTGCCACTTTTCCGGTATTGTAACTCCTTCGGTTTATAAAAATTAGCGAAAATGTCTTTATTAACGATAGATTTGTTTGTTATCAATCTTCCTTTTCAATTAAAACGGTGGAGTTGTGGCAAGTTGAATTTTGGCATTGCACATAGTTGCGCCTTCTGTTAGGTGTTAAATTTTGTAAATTTAGTGCCTTTCGCCGAGCTATCTTCTACGAAGATATCTAAATTAATGTGTTGATATTTGACGAGGTTATGGTGTGTGGTAGAGCAAGGTATTTAACGGAAGAAGTCTTTTTAGTTTGTTCGTACCACTGATTTGCCTGAAAATTAGGATATAAGAAATGGGCATCGTAAATAACGTTAGTTTTAGAATACATGATTATTACAAAAAAAAAAAAAGGTATAAAGTCAATGATTTTTTATGTATCTGTTAGAACTATAAACACGTATTCATTTTTATACTACTTTACATTGACGTATATATTGCACTTTTTATTTTTATCACTTAGTACAGATCGTCGTTCTAGTATTTATCTTTATTTTTATTAAATATTTTCAAATTTTTTTTTTCATAACGTTTTTCGTCTTTATATATATTATACACGGTTACACAACAATAGTCTACATAACCTGTATAACTGGTCGAAGTTTTATTGGATTTTGATGTATATATAATGCAAGTTATATATATATTTATTTTTTAGGTTTAGTTATTTTCTAGGTATAAGCTAAAAACTACAGGGTACGTCGTGTTTATTTCCAGCTAGGTATAGTTCGAAACATGCCAAATATCTTGACAAGGACTTTAGATTGTCTCCGAAATGTATCAAAATCGTAAATTTTTGCGCTGCGCCACTCATCAGTCATCCAAAAAAAAAAAAAAAGAATTATGTGAAACCATAAAATTTGGCCAATTATACAGCTAGCAAGTAGATCGGGTAAAATTCTCTTTATATATAAAGATGTAGTTCCTTTTTTTTAAAAAAAGAAAAAAAATTAGCGTGTCTGTACTGAATTACTTTTTTATGATAAAGTTTTGGTAGTAATGAACAATAATAAAAGTTAGATTAGTTTTGTACAGGATTGCTGAAGCCTTTTTGTCGCAGGCAGCTTGTTGTTGACATATCAGCTCGGCTGCGTTTGTATCAAAACAAAAACAAGTGAAATAAAAGTGTACGTTTTATAGATCGTAAATGGAAGCTTTTTTAGGTTACAATTATATTACAAAATAGTTTGTAAGATTAATAATTTCTTTGTGTAGTCTATGTTACTGGATAATTTTATATTTTAGTGTTCCTTCAGATCCAAATTGTAAATGTATTGAGATGCAATACAGTTATTGTGTGTACAAGCACTTTTTATTTAGTAGGTTATTAGCAGTTTCGCAGTAGACGCGACTTCGCACGGAACACCGCCGGCTGGAATTATCTGACTTCAAAATTTCACGCCGCAGTTATCGGTGATAGTTTCGGAAAAATATAATTTTTACAATATTCGCAAACTTAACAAAAAAAAAAAATTATGAATTCTCGATTACTTTTTGAATTTTTTTGTTAAAAGAAAAAAAAAATACATTAATTTACTGTTTTCCTTTTAACAGGACCCAGAATCGAAAAAATTAAAGAACACTTTTCAAATAACATTTTTTTTAAAACCTCAAAAATAAAATCGAAGTAAGCCTAGTCCTTAATTTAGATGATAAATTTTAAATGCCAAACTTTTCGGATAAATCCACGAGTAAAAATCACATGGATTACAATCTGGCGACCTTGAAGGCCATGAAATATGTCTAGCGGCTTATCCCCACCTGTTGTGAAAATAACACAGGCCGACAAAATTTGGCCGACTCTCTAACCCAGAAACCAGAATGTACTTTTCCGAAGGATTTTGCTGCACTGAATTCGAATCGAGGTCCAAATTTCTCGATTGGCTCTGGTTTTCGAGATATCCTAACCTAAAAGTGCCAAAATCGTGATTTTTTTGACATATTTGAGGTTATTTTACATGGAAAGGTAATTTTTTTTGCCAAAACCATTAAAATTATAAACCCTAAGCCCAAAAACCCTAAGCAATGAACCCATAAGGTTTGTGGTGCTGTAATGTCAGTATATTCAAAAATCGAGAAATATGTCAAATTACTAAATTTCAACATGCGATTTCTCAAAACGAAAAATGATACAATGATAAATCCAAGTGCGTTTTAAAACATAAGTATAGTACCTTAACACCCCATTAATGGTTTTAGCAGAAAAAACTATGTAAGTCCAAGAAACATAACCTCAATTATGTCAAAAATCTCTATTTTTGCACTTTTAGGTTAGGATATCTCGAAAACCATAGCCAACTGAGAAATTTGAACCTTGGTTCAGCGCACCAAAATCCTTTGGGAAAGCATATTCGTGTTGCTAGGTTAAAATCTTTCCAATTATTTAGATAATCTTGACATCTGAAATGAGACGAAACACCATTTTATTAAAACCACATGGATTTTCCTACATTTAAGGGTATATCATCGAGAGTTTAGGCAAGTTTTGTGTGTGGGTGAGATATAACCTACATTTTAGATATGTCATAAACTTTTTAGGTCATATCTCACCTGTACTGAAAACATGTCGGTAGATAGGCCTCCAAATAGCAATTGCCCAAAACCGGTTTACATCTGCCGTGATTTATTTTATTGAATTCAATGTAGAGGTAAAAAGAAATGTCCTATTTAAAGTAATAAAAAAAAATTACTGGAATTACAAACCTTGGAAAGGATGTAAGAAAAACAATACTTGATAGGTTTGAGATACATTTTTCTTAGTAAGCAAATAAAATTACACTAATTTACCGTTAGATCAATATACAGGGTGTTTTTTAAGTTGTGGTTTTAGTCCTTTACATATAACATTTTTCAAATAATTTTTTTGAGCATTTTCTCCCAATCATCTGAACAGTCTTTCCTATGCGTTTACATAATTTCTCCAATCTCTCAATTTAGTCTTATACACCTTGTAATTCAATTGAAAATCGCATGGCTACAATCTGGTGACTTTGATGGTCATGAAATTGGTTTATAGCGGCCTATCTACTGAAAAATTCATTAATTTCAATTGGATTTATTCAGCTTATAACGTGAGGGTTTTTCATAGCTCGTATGTGTCTGCTTCCTAAATTATTTATTCCGTTATGAGTTAAAATTGCCTTATCTATTATAGGAACGCACAATTTTTGCTATAAAACCCACGCTACCGTACTCTTCTAGGATGGTGTTGAAATATTAAAGCTTGAACTTGTTACACATGATATGGATAAAATTGATTTTCACATAAAGTGGTGTGCAAAATGTTACTTGGGATTTTTTAACTAATTTCGAAAATGTCTTCAACCTACAGCATTTTAGATGAATTAAGTTTTTTGGCATGGTAATAACGATATTCCTATAGATATCCTGTTTCTTTTTTTTATCATCATAGACAACCTTATGAACTGTGGGATGAAATCTCAGGAAAATGAAATCGTGATGCTATAAGTGCATTTTGATGACACTCCTCGTAAAATGATAAAACAATTAAATCATTACTACTGTAAATGCAGGCCAATTTTGTTTAATATCCAAATCAGTAGTACTTGTAAGACACTTTGCATCGTGCAAAGTTACTAGTATACAATAAAAACGAAAAAAGAAACACAATATAGGAATTATTTTAAGCACTCATTATTTTTGAAATTTTGAAAAAATGTTATTTAAAAAGTTTGCTAACATTGAATTCTATGTAGAGTTAAAAGGAAAACCCATACTTGTATTTTGAAACAAGTAAATAAAAAAAAGGAAATACAAAGCGGAGAGTACCAAAAACAATTAGGTGACTTATAGAAATGTTCTAAGGACGGTAGTGAAGAAATATTTCTCGATTCTTCATATTAACACTGTCAGATGATTGCAGTCCATTTTTTTTACTGATGCACTTAAAAAAACAAAAAAAAAAGAAAGAAAAATTGTGCACTACAAATGAAAGTAAAACAGAATAAGTATGAAAGTTGGTAAAGTGATTGTGTGCCCATCCTAAGCTAACAGACCGATGCCTTATCAACCAACCAATCCAGGCAAGAAGATTCACATTTTCCTGGTAAGCTTAACCATCCATTATTTCCTGTCAGTGCCTTGACATAATTTTTCTAAACGGAAGCAATGTCCCATAACCACCACATAAAAATTAAAAATATTTAATTTTTTTTATTAGCTTTCATAGTTTTAATCACAAACGTTATTTTGAGTGGTGATTAAGGACGTTAGACCTAAAATTTACACGACCTTTAACCTATACAATAAAATATCTTGTATCCTATTTTTGATCCAAATTAAAAAATCTTTGCAACGTGAGAGGATTTTTGTAGCTTAGTTATTTCTCTTTTAGAATCCAAAGTCACTAACAATAGCTTAAAACTTCACATTTTTGGACGATATATTGTTGGTGGCTTAGCTTCGGCAGTTGTCGGCGACTTTTTAACTGTTTGTGTTTCGGTAGGATATCGATGGAGACAGCTGGCCTGCCTCTGCCCGGATACCACTACATAGCCCCAAACCACATTGTTAAGGCTCCGATCCATTGAGGTAGGCAAAGCCCCGTGGATAGTTAGAAGCCCCCATTCTCAATGGTATCTCAGAATACCATACTAAAAAAGGTCTGATCTGTGAAATTTAAATATTTGACAATATGTCGCTAAATAATTATGACGAAATAACAAAAAAAAAAACTAACAAGATTGGTACTGGGGATCAAGCCAAAGAATTTTTATTTTCAATTTTTTATAAATACTATATTTATATAATATATTTAGATACAATCAGAAAATTTAATGTATTATTTATTAGATGTTTTGCTAGTTAGTTCCATTCAAAAATGCAGACAGACTAGTATTTTTACCAATGATTGGATTGTTGTTGATAACTAAATGTTTTAAAATTTGTACATAAGTTTTAAGCGGTCCTGACAATTGTCCTGTTGAAAATGTTCGGAATGAGATTGGTGTTTCTGTTCATTAAATGTACATAAATAGGTAGCTAAAACTTTGCTCAAAAGCTAAAATGTAAATCAGCATATCTAAAACCGTTTACTTTTTTCAAAAAATGTAGTTACCCATCGTAGAACAGAAGCTTTTAAAGGGAATTGAAAAGTCAATATTAAAATACTTAATTAATATTTTCACGTTCATTAAATTACACTTAAAATATATAATTTGCCATCGAGCATACAGGGTCGGGTAAAAGTGTCGGAACACCTATATACAGGGTGAACCGTAAGTTTGATTAAAAACGCCTTTAACAGGAGTTTTTGGAGTGTTTTTTGTTCTTTTCAATTACGTACTTTAATTTCCAACATCTACATTATTTGTACAGATACGGCATTGTCAGTTTTTTTAAATGGACCGCCCTGTTTATTTGAACAGTATTAAAAAGGCAGATTTTCACTGATTACAATCATATAGGTTTTGGTGGGTCTGCAATCTATTGTTTTTTTAATGTTGAATAAAACAATAAAATAAAGAGTTGTTTATATTTTTTTTGTCACGGCTACCTAACAAAGTAATTGGGTTTGGTAAGAGTAAAAATTTTATTTAATGAACGTAAAATTTGTTATTGCAAAATATGAAGCACCTGAATATTAAAAAATTGGTGACCTTCGGCAGCCTGACAATATCCTACTCGTTCAACGAAAGCTTTTAAGGAATTTTGAATGCATGCTGTGATATTTCTTGAACGGCCATCCTAATTAGATCTTCCAACTCTTCTAACTGAGGTTTGGTCGTGTAGACAACAGATTTTAAATGACCCCAAAGGAAATAGTCTAACGGACTTAAATCTGGCGATCACGGTGGCCATTCAATATATTCTCTTCGCCCTATCCATCTCTGTGGAAATACATTATTTTGGTACCAACACACGTCAACTCTTTAATGAGACGGAGCTCCATCTTGTTGGTACCTAATGTCATTTGGGAGTAGTTCAAAATTTGCTTTATTTGAAAATAAGGGAATCAATGCTGGAACTATTTGCTAGCGCAAAAGTTGTAAATAAGGGTTAGAGTTCAAATTTTCTCTAACAAAGAATGGGTCGATGATGTGTCCTCTGATTATGCCCATCTATACATTTAATTTCTGAGGATATTGAGTGCGATTTTCTTCTATCCAATGTGGATTTTGATCACTCCAGTAAAGACGGTTATGTCGATTTATAAAACTGTTAAAGCAGAATGTCGATTCATTGGTGAAAAGTATATTAATATTCTAAATGGTGTTCATCATTTCCTCACAGAATTGCATCCTTCTATCAGGGTCATCCTCATTTAATTCTTGTGCTAAATGTACTTTATATGGATGAAATTTATTTTTGGACAATATCCTGCTTACTGGTCTCGCTAATATTGTGGTATAAGGCTACTTGAGGCACTGAAGTTTTTCGTTTTTCTTGTATATTGAGAAGAACATCTAGTGACCTATCTTCACTTGTAGCTGATTTATGTTTGCTGAATTTTTTAAGATTTTTAACACTTCCCGTTTGATGAAACTTTTTCATTAAAAATATTGCATGCATCTTGCAGATATCTCATCCTGTCTCCAAAACCAACCATCAATGATGAAATTCTTTCACATTCACTTAGTTCACCCATAACTTGAAGTTTTAACAGCAATCTTAATAAGTAATAACTGTATTTCACTATTGACTGCATCTGACAGGAATAGATGATTTATTTCTTTTAAAAAATTTGCAAAAATGATAGCAAACCAACCCGATTACTTTTTTATGTAGCCATGACAAAAAATATAAACATCTGTTTATTTTATATCCAACATTTGAAAAAAAAACAACTAGAAAGGTAGGTAAGTCCGCTACCGCGGACTTGACCTTTGCCTCGGGCCGCGCTGCGCGCGCCTCGAGCACCGCCCCGCGATGCGTTCTCTGTGGGTTAGTAAATAAATAATATATAATATTTTTCAAAAACCCTACCCACCAAACCCTATATCATTGTAATCGGTGAAAATCTGTCTCTAAAAATGTTAAAATAAACAGGGCAGTCAATTTAAAGAAACTGCCGACAACACCGTATCTCTAAAAATAAAGTAGATAGAATATAAATACTCTAAAAACTTTTGTTAAAGGTATTTTTTAATCAAACTTATAGTTCACCCTGTACGCAGGTGTTCCGACACATTTGCCCAACCCTGTATAAAATATTAAGCAATAAACCCAATTTATAAAATTTCCTTAAAATTCTAAATTATAAAAACGTGATAAATCTAGTTAGTAACCTGTTTGATAAACGTGTCGTTGCTCAAGTAAAAAAGTGCATTATTTCTGTAAAATATAAAGTTCAGTTGCCAAATCTTACATTTCGACAAAATAAAAAGAATTATTTACAACAGGACAATACCGGATGAATCGTTTCTATTGTTTTTGACTGTTAGACAGTTGTTTTCGAAACTCGTTTTTTAATTTAATAATGCTTATCGTAGATTCAATTAGAATTTAATTTGTGTACGTAAACATAAGGAGTGATATGGGCACTTTGTGTTTTACAAGTTTGGGATGCAACACGTTGATTTGCATTTTTTAAATTGGGCTGTGGAACTTAAGAGTATTTGTTGTATTAGTGTAATTTTTCTTCCAAAAAAAAAATGACGACTTTTGTGCCAAATTTTACTTCCTACCTTAACTAAAATGCTCATCACATAGGCTGCACGCTAGATATTATACTAAACTAATTGTAAGTAATCGTCTATTAGGTCTATGTATTGGGCAGTTACCTACTAAAATGCTCATTTCACTCATCTATTCTAATAATTAACAATGCAATACATTTGCAATTATTACAAAAGTCTATTTGTCAATAGCGGTAGGTGTACTGTGATCACGTAATGTAACATTGCACTGTCGCAACATGATGTTAACAATAATGTAGGTTTAATAGGGCTTATGTTAGCAGTGAAAATCCAGTACCACAATCCCACAGATCTCGTTCAAAAGGATTTAAATTGCATCTAATTTCATTTAAAAATGTTTGGGAGTTGAACGATCTTTGACTGATGGACTTATCCTTAGGCACAAATGTACATGTTGCTTTTTTAGGAAAAGTAAATATTTTTAATATTGTGGGCTATATGTTCTGTCCAGCATTGAACTACACCCGCAATATCGTATATGATATAGAAAAGCCGTGTAACTGTAAAATAAATCAATATAAAAAGCTGAGAAGGTTAATAACGGCTTTTTTTTGGTAAGCATTCATTTTACAGTCTTTCGAAATGCATTTCTTTCCTAATATACGCCTTTGGCATAATGGCAGATATCTACTAATTGCTAAGAAGGAGAATCATCGGACATAGACCGGTATTGAACTTATTAGTTCTCATCAGTATGTCATGGGTGAGATATAACCTATAAAATATAGTCGTGTCAACTTTGTGTCAGTAGATATTGAGCAGTAGCAATGACATTTAAGATATCACATATTTTTTAGGCTATATCCTACCCATACTATAATTCAGTACTGGGTGGGACGTGTAACCCACAGTATTGTTTTCCATCCATATCATTGCTTATAAAGATTATTTCATCTAATGCGATATTAATTATGTTTTCATAATACCTTCGTATTGGTAGATAGCTCTGTGCTCTATATTAAGTAGCAATGACTTAAGATATGACACATACTTTATAGGTTATATTTCACAAATTATAAGATTTACTTAATAGAGCTCTAATAGCACTAATTCATATTTATCCGTCATGAAAACCTTTTTAAATATAAATTGATACAGTCCTTATAAAAAAATCAAAACAACTATTACGAAAGAGGACGGATAATGTACACTGACGTTGATGTATCGATATGTCAAATGTGCCACTTCTCAAGAAACATGCATCATTAAAACAAGATTAAACAATGTGCCTTCTAAGTTAAAGTGCATATATTTACATGATATGCAATAAAACAAACAAATAAAAAAAATTAAACAAATTTTTCTTTCATAAAAATCACTATAGCATATCCGACACTGACGTGCTAGATTAACTAGATTTAACTTTGTCCTTACACATATCACCTTTTCCTAGGTCATTCAACTCTCAAGCATTCTTTGACTACTTTTTAATAATTTTACATTTATGAAAGGCATTATTTTATTTGATAATTTCTTACAGTAAAACTGTTACTCAAGTGATAATTTCTGTGAGGTTATGGTAAAATACTGTTTTGTATACTACTCGTATTTTATTGTTGTACTTCACGGGAAAGATGAAAACTTTGACACAACTACTGTGGTTTTCATTAAAATTAACAAACATTGGCATAATCATATGACACGGATTTCAAGTACAAATTTTTTATTTTGTTGTGTCGGTGTTTTTGGCTTTACAAGTACATATCATATATTGAAGTTGTTTATTACATTATGCTAATGTAAAAAAAAATATTCTGGTTTTATTTTTTATTACTATTATTGCTTGTTATGTAGTGGTAGTGATATTGTAATCTAGTCCTCACTAACAATTTATCACATTTATTATTAGTCTAGTCATTTTTTTAAGCTCAAACAATTCGGATTTAATCCCAGTAGGAATTATTAAGGAAATTATAAATGTTGTTTGAGGTTATGTAATGTGGCTGTTGCGCGACGAACCTAGGACTGTGCGGTAAAAGACAATTATTTGGGATTAAGTCCAGTGACTAGGCTACATTACATAATTGATGTTATTTATTATTCGATCTAAACGTTTGACTATAATAGGGACAATCTCGTTATCCCTTTGTGTTACTGACTGTTCATAATATTAGGATTACGGTAATTATAATGTGCCAATTTATGGATCAAGATTTTTCCGGATTCACTGAAATGTACAAAATTGCAATTTCTAAAATGTACTTAATATGGAATGACCTGCTGAATTGAGGATTTCTAGCGCATGTGTGATGCCTGTGGCGTTTGAACTAGACTCGCTCTTTTTGCCCTTCTCGATTTGGCCGATGCCGTATTTAAACAGAAGTATTTGAAACTTTGATTACGTTCAATTCAATTTTCCAAAATTCATAAGAAAAGTGCCAGTCTAGTGTCAGACTCATTCTGTATAAAATTTTCAATTTGTACAAATCTATACCAAGCAAATCAAGATGGAATTTTTTTAATGTAAACTAGTGGAAGTTGCTTGTACAAGGTTGTAAGAACGTGATTCAAAATTTTAAACAATGCTAATATCAATTTAAGTTTGTAGCGGTTTTAACGTTTTTTAACATTCATGTTTTCTCAGTGTAGCTTAACATTTCATTCGTTTTAACTGTGAAGTGATAACGATATTTTGAGAATTTTCTCCACATTTATGTGGACACTATTATTTTAGTATTGTGGTGTTTTGAAAAATTAAAAAGTTTATGCAGCTCCTGTACTAGCATGTCCGAATTCCATCTCGAATTACTTCAACCACTATAGCTCTCTACAGGGGGAGCGTTACACAAATTCTAGACCTTATAACTGCTTCTCTAGGGTAGACTTTAAAATCTCAATCAATGCGAGGGGGTCGATGTGCGATTTCGGATAGCCCTGCTCGCGTCTTAGCGGTGTAGTTGTTAGCAGGGGCCTTATGTTTGGCTATCTCATAGTTGTCGTGTTGTGCCAGGCAATCAACGGTTAGCTTTGTCTGTAGCGTAACGCTCAGTACTTATGGTGCCAAATGTGGTAGATGTCGTTAATATTCGTAATTCCACAAACTAATAACTGTCGAGGTCGTGGCCAGTGTTGCTTGGAATGGCTTCTATTTGCATTCAAAGGTATTCGTGAATTTATTTATTATTTCCATGTTTAAAGCATGATTCGTTCGGAATAGCCGCATATTTTATTTTATAAAAGGGTGTAATTCGATGTTTAATGAAGAGTAACAGCACTTTGAAATAATTAGGTGCCACTTTGCATTTTGCCGCCTTGAATTTGTACATTTACACAAATACTGCTCAGGGTGTACACCAATCTGGCAAACGTGGAATTGAATGAAATATTTTAATTAAATATACAGGGTGATTCAGGTTTAATCTGGATAACTTCAGAAATCGATAGAACTGATTAAGGTAATGTTCATTCATGATATAAACTTATTTCCTAAAGCGCATCGTTTTGGAGATAGAGGGCGTTGAAATATAATTTTTTTCCCGCTTTTGAAATCCGTGACGGTGTAGCAACCCATGAAAAACAAAACTCACAATGATTTGTATAAAGTGACGTTTGTGAAAATCTTTGTTAAAAGTATTATTTCAAAAGTATTTTTAGTACTAAAGGGAAAAAAAGAATTTCTACTTCAACGCCCTCTATCTCCGAAATGACGCGATTTAGGAAATAACTATATCATGCATGAATATGAATATTATTTTAGCCTGTTCTATCGATTCCTGAAGTTATCCAGATTAAACCTAAATCACAATGTATACAGGTTGTACTGAATTGTATAAACCAAACCTGGTGATAAAATTCGGAATAAGAAAAATATTCTTATATACATGGGTCAGGACATGCATGATACCCTATTTTCTATGATACAACATTTTTTACTCATTTACGAGCAATACTTAAAAAAATTGATTTTTTTTACACAAAAATCTTTTCTATTTTTTTAATTTAAATTACCAATTTCTGGGTACATATGGTTTAATTAATTTAGATGATAAACAGAATTTACAGTATTTATTATTAGGAAATAATAAGATGTTTGTATCAAATAAAAAAAAAACAGTAAAATTTTACCAAAGCCCCAAGTGTCCTAAGTTCCCTTAAATGATTGAAGTTCATACTAGTTATAATTTTTTCTTAGAAAGAATAAAAACCTCTGTAAATTTTCATTTGTTTTGTGTTCAGACATTTTGAAATATATTAAAAAAAAAGTTTTCAAGAATAAACACTGTATCTTGGAAACTAAACACTGCCAAATCCATACGCTAATAGAATTTAACCAAAAATTGCATATAATATCCTTTCGAAAAAATTATTTTTTAAATTTTGGCTTATTAAAATAAAATAATGCCCTTGTCCTTTAAATAAAAATTCCACAATATATTTAGATGGACCTTATTTGATATTCAAATAAATACAATTTTATTGGATTTCTTTTTAATAAAAAGGTTGGTGAAAACAAGACAAAATTTTTCAAATGAAAAATGTGGAAATTCAATAAAATTTTGAGTTATAATTTGGTATATGCCCTGCTATGTTCACCTGAGTGTACAGGATCTTAGTGGCAGGTGAATATTTTCAATTAAGTAGTTGAAGTAAGAAATTGACACGTTTTGTTTTCTGTGATAAAACGACATTGTGATACGTTGCGACGCTTAAAAATGGCCACGAGTAGAAGAAGCCGTTTATTAATTTGTGGAATTATTGACCAAATACATTTATAATTAAAATGTAATATAATATTTTAAATTTTTGTATTTAGAAATATATGTGACTGATTTATAACCAAATATTTTTGCAATGTCATCTAATATAGCTGAAATTGCCTATAAAGGTTTCAGCGCCCTGAATTTCCAATGTAAAAATATCACAATCAGCTAAACGTGAGAGATATCATTTATATAGCCTTTATTAAATACAGGGTCTTTATTAAAATAAGAGATTGTATTGTAAGTAGTTAACTTAAAGAGAATTTTGTCTAAGACATACATAAAAAATTATGAGCAGTATTGTTTTTGTGAGATTATATATTTAGTAATATATGATGCCAAAATTTTCCGGATTGCGTGTCCTTAGTGTCGCCAAATACGTCATTTTCTTTTCGAAGGCATGAACCTTCCTAAACCAACCTTACCTTGTGGTATTTAGCACTGTAAAACTATGTAACATAAAGAACCACTTGTAGTCCTCGACGCGATTATTTTTTCTGTTATTCTTCAGTATCGGCATCAAATTTCAGGGTAATTGTTTTAGTAATGCCAGAACAGCAGTTCGGCTGTAGATTATGTTAAAATAGTCAAATTGCGAATAGGTTTATATATCTATATGTATGCTATTTCTAGTGCTTTTGCTTCAAAGATCACAACACGACTGTAATTGTATTTAGCGTAGAGGCACGCTGTTACTCCCAACCAATTTTATATCTAGAAACACGTTACCATATCCCCGACATATCCCTCTTTGTTACATTGTGGATGGAGCCTACAAATTTTTTGCTCAATGATTTCTCCCTCTCCATATCACCTAAAGAGTAACAGCTCAATAAGATATTTTGATATACAATTTAATTATATTTTATTGTATTATGATCACGTTCATGTAGTTTTTAAATATATTAGGAAATAATTATTGAGAAAGAATGTGCAAGGCATTAGCGAAAAAGACAGTTCTAGATGATGCACATATCTTATTGTTCTTTCCATAATGCAAAATGTTAGCTTATTTACTTATAAGATGTTTTATGTTTGTTTTTGGTTAATAAAGTGTGAATATTAACTATGTGTTTTATTTGAATACATGCAACTATAAGTATATGGAATATACTATTCTATTTACCAAAAAAAATTCTGTCGATATTTTAATCATGGTCTGATAAGTGATTACCAGTGGTGGCTCTCAACTTTACTTCCAGGGAGGGTGAAAAAGTTTAGGTACAAAGTATTGAAAAAAAAATAAAATACAGTTGGGTAATTTTATTTTAAGTACTATTGAAATATAGGGAAAATGTACTGTAACATTGTTTTTTATAGTGAACATTGTTTTTTATAGTGAAAGTCCATTCTTCTGCTTTTGTCTAAAATAAATTTTTAAATTCACTGAAGTTTTTTCTTTTACCATTTTTTTGCAAGTGTGTACTACAATCAATTCAAACTTTTACAATTTTTTAAAAAACGAAACTATGTAACAGAATTTTACACCATACATGAACATATTACATTTACGTATTAAGAAAAAAAGGCGAATGGCTATTATTTAGTTATGGTGGGGCTAGACAGAGCTCAAACTACTTCTACAAACTTCTACTCTGTGTTTCGCTGCTGGGCAACGGTAACCATGACCACCGATGTAAACACTTTACAAACTTTACTTTGCAAGTAGTGTTAAATTGACTATACATTACAAATTTAACATATTTTTAATGTTTCATAAGGCAAATCTATGTAGACAACATTGTAAATTAAATTTTTTAACTTATTTTAGAAATAATTTTTTATAAACTACTTTTGGCGCTTTTGAAATTATTTCTCAAGTTTATTACCTACTTTTTAAAAACTGTTAAAATTAAACAATAAATATAAAATCTTTTTTACATACTTACATATCACGATTATAGTAATCAATTCAACAATTTTTAATATCCAGAACATAAAAATTTTTGTCAAGTTAGATTAAATTTCAACTTTTAAAACAAACATTATGCTGAAGACCAAATACACAGATTATTAGCTCAGTATATGACGGTTTTTAGGTCCAAACTTTTGACACATGCACCGATTGACATGAAATTTTAACAGTAAGTAGAAAATTGCTCAAGAAACAAAAGTTACATAGTGCCGATGTGTGCTTTCACCCTAGGGGTGAATGCAGAAAATCAATAGATTCTAAGCAAAAAATGCTCTGTAACGTTTTTTCCAAAAATTAATATTTTCCGAGTTATTTGCAATTGAAAATGTTGATTTTTTTATCGAAAAATCCATATAAACCAAAAATAAAGCTTTTGAAATAACGAATCGATTCATTTTTTGTTGATTACCGTAGATGTAATAATAACCGAGTTATCACTCTCTAAAGGTGATTGTTTATTTTTCGGAAAGTAAAATCGAACTTTTTACCGTAAAATAATGGCGAAAGAACTAATTTTTCAAAGAAAATGAATATTACCTTTTTTAAAGTGTTTGGAAAGACCTTTAAAATGCTTTTTGAAAAAATTCCGTAGCCCAAAAACTCGCGGAGTTATGATGAAAATTAAATGGTCATCTCATTTTTTCGGAGAAAAAATCAACAATAAAATCTATGGCTGAATCATAAAAATAGAAACTAAGCGTAATTCATGTACAATTGACTTCATTTAGGTACTAATAATAGGCTCTGCAAGTTTGACCGGTTTAGAACGCCTGAAATGAAAAAAATAAAAATAAAAAAAAAACCATTTTTTTTTCGAAATAACTCAAAAACTAAACAAGATACGTGAAAAATGCAAGAGTTCAAATTCAATAAAGGTCTTTTTTGATAATATTTTTGCTCTCTTTCAATTTTTCTGAAGAGCAAAAATTAACTGAGATATTACGTTTTTTAGTTTGCATTTGCGTGTAAGGACCACCTTTAAGCCCTTAAAACCTACACATATCGAAAACGAAGAGTTCAAGACCCTTCAACTATAAAGGTTGATCTGTAGCTCTTGAAATTGCCTGCAAATTGCTTTTTGGAGCGATGAAAAATATTAAAAATTAAAACAGTTATCGTGAAAAAACGAATTGTATTATTCAATGAAAATGGCTTAATTTCCGATAGTTTTCGAGGCGTAATACACACACAAACACACATACGCAATCCAAACAGAGGAAGTCGACAGTAATGATAGTTCTTTAGATATGTAAATTATTGATAATAAAGTATAATTGTATAATACACAAATAATTTTTATTTTCCCTTTCACTAATTACATAATTTAAGTTTCGTGTTTTAAGTTATCTCGTTGAATTTGGTAATGAATCGTTGAGTGTTTTGAAGCAAGTAAAAATTCTTCAATTCCTCATTAAGGGTTGTTTTTAAGGGTTGAAACGTTGCAATGAATCATCAGTAATATTATAAACACGAGTCTTTCATTCATTGTAAATGCTATGAAATTGTGAAAAACATTTTTTGCTTTATTTTCTGCAATAAGGGTGTTTTTAAGGGTTGAAACGTTGGAACAAATCATGTATTATTTCATAAACAGTAAAAAATATTCAATTCTTCATTATTGCTCCGTCAAAACATTTCAGAGCCGCGAAACCAAATTTTTGTTTTTTCCCCATAAAGGGTGGATTTTAAGGGTTGAAATGTTGCTACAAATCAAACATTATTACTCAAAACATAAAAGAAAGCTTACATCTATGGTTTTTACGTTTCTTGCAAGAAGGGGTAGTTTTCACCCCCTAAAAACAATAAGCACACATTATGGATATGTAACTTTTGTAAAGGAGGGTGAAATGAGCTTATTCACCAATTTTCATGAAAATCGGTGCTTGTGTCAAGAATTCGGAGGTAATACCCTATTTTTACCGTTGTATACTGGACTATAAGATCCAATTCTTACTTGTGGAAGGGCGAAATGGGCGTTGACTATTAGACGCCTTCATTATAGCCATCCTTGTCTATCACATGGATTTCTATGGCTTACTTTATCGCTCTCACGTAACTTCTAATAGACCATCGGTACTTTCCTGCACTGTATTATTAAATCCAACTTTTCAGAACAAATGAGTGGAGCTCCTATTTTTATCAATTTTTTATTAAAGTTTTTAAAATAAGTTATAATGGAAAACACTTGTCAATTTTGAACTTAATTTTTTTTACTACGAAAAATTTCTAGGGGGCGCCGCCCCCGCACTAGCCACCACTGGTGATTACGCACAGACAGACGGCGACCGATTATTTTTACTGTTTTCCACAAAAAGCAATAGTTTTTTTGTGTGCTAGGAATGTATGACCGATAAATGGCAAATGCACCTGCTATTTCAAAGTAAATTTCATCCCATACATTTTTCTCAATCTGATAATTTTGGATAATTTTTCTCAGTCTGATAATTTTGGATAATTCATTTCGATGATCGTGCATGAGGTATGTTTCAGTAAAACTGTATGTCCTCTTACCATATTAAGCACAAAACATACTTGGACTTCTATCGAAATTCAGCAGGGTTGGCAAAATTTTACCGAGCTTTCATAAATGTTTACAAGCCACGTGATCGCCGAGCTTAGGCAACCAACATTGCAGAGCTGGTACTGGTAACGGAAACTTCCTAAATCTTGGCGTCACCAATATGATGATACGTTTACAAGGAACAATGACAAACCGTCACGTCAACGCTCGAGATAATACGATCGCTGATTGGTGGAATAGAATCTCGTAAAAAATTATACTAATCACAGATGGTGAAAGAGGACGTTGTGTTTTAACGTAATCTTTATCTTACTGTTTTAATAACTTTTAATTTTACCTAAATTTAATTGACAAAACATGAAGAAAACAAAATTGTTCCAAATAAATTACTGGTCGCGGGGCTTGTAATCATTTATGAAGGCTCTGTATATTTCAACATGATATCTCGGGACTAGCTTATAAAATCAATGAACAATGAACGTGATTTATGATTTGTTTATGGCTGGATAGTGGATACTTTGTTGGTGTTGTTATATAGGCAACCACATATACACCCCTTTGTATATATGGTTACTCGCACATTGAACACATTAAAAGTTTAATTTTACATAAGTGCCTGCGGCAAAATTTTTATGGAATATACCAGTGTTGATAAACTAACTAGCAGTATTAGGACATTTTTTAACCAAATAGTAAGAAAAACTCAATGTATCTGTAATTATAAACCCTGTACTGTAACAGGGACTGCCTACTAGAACAAATTATATAAAACGTAGTCCTTAAAAATAGAAAAAATATATATTAATACACTAATTGACGTTGTACCTTTAAAGCGGGGGTCGTCAAAAGTAAAACATGCAGACAAACAATATTCCCCAAAACAAAATAGCATATAACAATGGCTTATAATGATTTCCTGTATTAAACAATTTTGAATAGACGCACTGAATCATAATTAATATATTCGAAAACTTGCGAACTTATTTAAGTCCTTCGATTCAACATTAGACATTCAATTTTGTACGGTGGTGCTAAAAGTCTTTATTTGCTCTACTATACAAGTAAGTAACTTTTTCGACAATATCTTTAACATTACAAATTCCCAGAAAATATCTATTCCAACCCAGAACTTTTGATCCTCGATGTTCACGTAAAATCAAATTACATTAATATCATGTCTTTTTAATATCCAGGGTGATTTCACTTTAAATACAGAAATACAGGAATAGAGTAACTGCCAAAAAATAAGTAGAGTTTGCTCTATAAACTTTTTTCCTGGGGACGAGGTATCTGAGATACGGGGTGTTAAAAGTTTACAAAAAAAAATATATTTTATGTATTATCTTCACAATGCGCTAACAGAAATCAATCAAATTTGTTACAGCGTATTCACTTAATTAGATCTTTTATTAAATGTCATATTAACCTATTGGCTGTAACCAGGGTCGTACTATTGAAGATACCAATCCCTCAGAAATAAAGTTGACAGTGCAAACTCTACAAACTCTACTTATTTGCGGTCTGCGCTCTCCATTCTTCCATCTCGAAAATAACAAAGAAGATAGAGTTGAAAAGTGTTACAAATATTTTAATTTCATTGTTAATATTAACGAACAAATCATTGTTATATTTTTCTCATATCAAAAACAGGGTTGAAAAAATTTTGCCGGATAGTTTAATTACTTTGCAGGTATCATATCGAAAATAAATACAATTTTAGGTATATTATCACATACTATTATCTACCAAAATTATAATATTCATAAAACTGTAGTATATTATACAGGGTGATTTAGAAATGCGTAGAAATGACGATTTTTTAAAATAAAATTTTTCTTTTCCCAAAAAGAATATGTTGTATTGAAATTTGGCACAATTTGAGGATGCTAAATAACATCAACATACAAACTGTTCTTAAACGAATGGGCCATACTTCAAGAATATCTTTTATGGGCGAAAATGAAAAGATTTAGATCAAGTTATCTTGGTACAATTCTGCTTCGTTAAAAAAGTACGGGCCCTCAAAAAAATGAAAAAAATATATGTATCTACAGAGATCACTTAATCTAAATCGGTTTATTTTCATCCGTTTTCTGAAAAAAGTTTTTAGTGGTTTTGACAAGAAATTTTTTTATGTAAAATGAATGTTACATTATAAATATACATATACAATTTTAAAAAAGTCCTGTCATATAGTGTCGCTGGGGAAATGGTATTTAGCGACTTCTAATATGGCCAGAAACTAATAATATGATATACATATTTAGCATCCTCAAAAATTTGCCTCAGTTAAATTTGAATGCATTACAATTTTTTCAGAAAAAGTATTTCTACAATTTAATTTAAAAAAGTCATCTTCGACATAAAAAATATTTAAGAAAAATATCGTCTTACTTTTTGATGGTCTATCTCTTCCTAATGTTTTACACTTGTCTCTATATCAACCTGTATAGACATAGTACNAAAAACTTCAGATAAATTTGAATGCAATACATTTTTTTCGGAAAAAGTAATCATCTTCGACGTTCAAAAATACAAAAAAAATATCGTGTTACTTTTTGATGGTCTATCTCTCTCTAATTTTTTACACTCATCTCTATATCATCCTGTATACAACTTTTTTCAAGGCCTAAATCAACTTCTATTTCTATTTTCTCCTTTTTGGTTATTGATATGGCTTTTTGTTCATTAGTCCACCCTCTATATGCTTAACTCAATATAATATTATTGTATAATGCAAAAAAATTATAAATGTATATCAGTCTGAACAAAACAATAGTTAACTTGTTTAAAAACAGTCATTGTCTTCATATAAATCAATATTAATTTATTGAAATTAAGTTATTTAAATCAGCAAGTTCTTTTATATACAGCAATACTGTTTTTTTTTTTTGTTTGTAATATTTTTGTATTAGACAGCATCGACATGGAAATCGTTCCCGACGACGTCGTTATTTCCGGAATTGGAGGCTACTTCCCTAAAGCGTTAAATATAGAAGAATTCAAGCAGAGGTTGTTTAGTAATGAGGTTCTACTGGAAGCTAGATGGCCAGAAGGTACNATTTTTGTATTAGACAGCATCGACATGGAAATCGTTCCCGACGACGTCGTTATTTCCGGAATTGGAGGCTACTTCCCTAAAGCGTTAAATATAGAAGAATTCAAGCAGAGGTTGTTTAGTAATGAGGTTCTACTGGAAGCTAGATGGCCAGAAGGTACGAAATTATTTCTTCATTTGTTAATTACGATTAATTTTAAATAGTTACATTTAATAAATTATTTTGTCTAAATTAAAACAGCGCGAAATTTTATCTACAATAGTATAATGCACAAAATATTAATATGCTAACGCTTCTCTCACACAATAATAAATTCTTGTACTTATAGTTGTGATAAGAGGTAAAAAAGTTTTTATTTTTTTGCTGTAACATGAAAAATTTACCATTTAAAGCGTCTATTTAAAAAAACATTATAGGGGAAAGAGGGGTATGCAACAAAACCGGTATCATCCCTTCGGCGTATTTCGACAACTCCTATTTCGGCATTCATCGTCAGCAATGTACCTTTATGGACCCCATGCAACGTTTGGTGATGGAAAGAACTTTCGAGGCTTTAATCGACGCTGGTACGTTGTACAATAAAACTGTTTTTTTCTGGCACTTATTCCAAATAAATTTCAGGTGTTAACCCGGCGGAAATCAGAGGGAGAAGGGTCGGAGTGTTTATAGGGTCAGCTATTGGAGAAAACGATAACTTGTTCTTGGAGTCTGTGGTGAGCGGTTTTGGTGTGACTGGACACTCCAGGGCTATGATGCCCAATCGCCTTTCTTACTGGCTGAATTTGAAAGGTATGTGTTGAAGCAATGTCTCTTGGAAAACTGAGGACTTTAAAATGATCACCAGAATGGTGATATAATGACGTATTTCGTCATTATCCCAGAAACTGGTAAAGAAAGCGATCTTTTCCGTTTCATGATAATGCTTTTGCTCAACAACTCGCTGCAATATTGCGAGATTAATTTAAAATTTCCAGTACATATCCACGCTTAAGTAACTGTTTCAGATTTTTAATAACTTTAATAAAAACTGTTTAAAAAACTACTGACAAATCTATATTTCTTTGACAGTAATCATAAGAGACTATAGTCCAGAAGGAATCTGTTTCAGAGTCCATATTTGGGTGAATCGTATATCCACGGAGATTTTTGTCTTTTTGGCTTTCAAATATCATTAGAAATGAAAATTTTTCTATGCTCATAAAAAAAACATGGGCTTAACTTTTGGCGGCACAATATGTTAAAAAAATTCGAAAAATTTCATATTTCTCTTCCTATTTAATTGTTTATAAGTACAAAAATTCGACCAATGTTTAAACAAGGGCCAGAGCTCTCCTAATTGACGGATTCGAATTTTTCAAAAAGCGTTTGAAAGATTGAGAGCCCTTCTATATGTGATTAAATTTTCAAGTATCTAAGGGCCTTGGTTTTTGCTGTGCAAAATTTTGAAAATTTGCAAATTTTTTTTCAAAATCTGGATTGCAAAATTATTATGTGAAAATCTATCGAACCTATTTTCATGAAATTTGGTGTGATGATTCTACATAACATGAACTTTTCTTGAGTCTAGTATGAAGGTCCTATACCCAACTTAAAGACCCCAAAAAAAATCCCTAAAAAATAATGTTTTTAACCCAATTTTTGGCGATTTTTTCGATTTTTACAATAGTAATCATAATTCATTCGATTTGTAACTAGTCATATTTTGTAAAATTTAATTACAAACATTTTTTCCACTTCCATTTTCGCCTAAAATCAACTCTTCAAAAGATACATAATTAAATAGGAAGAAAAAGATGACATTTTTCAAATTTTCTTAACATGTGCCGGCAAAAATTAAGCCCACATTTTTGTTATGTGCATAGAAAAATTTTCATTCCTAGTGATAGATGAAAGCCAAAAAGCCAAAAATCTCCGTGGATATACGTTTCACCCAAACCAAAACAGATACCGCCTAGTCTACTAATAAGTCTGAAAAGTGTATAAAGAAATCTCCAGGAGATTGTCAAAGCCAAATGCCGAAACTTGCCTGATTTTTTTATATAAATTAGTTTGAGGTATATAATAACAATGTGACTATTTTTTTTTTAATTTTTATTTTTTAAAAGGTAAAATAAAAGGGGTTTTCGAGATGACTCAAACGGGGTAAGAGGTAGAAAAAAAAGTTTCTTATAAAAGTTGTAGAGCATAAAATTCTACATAAAAATGCCTGTGCATCTTGTGCACGTGCATTGTGTGTTGCAGTATTACTTAGCCGGCGTATAAAATGTTTTCTGATTAAGAACTAGCAGATATAGTGTTAACGTACGGAGAATGTCAGTACAATTTAAATAAGACTTGTCGTTTTGCATATTTGCACGTATGCAGACTAATTTTGACCGTCGTTTGGAAGCATGTGCATGAAGCACATGGAAATAACTTTGAAGAATTTTTGTAGAGCATATTATTTATTGGTCTTTGTTCCTAGAGCAATCCAAAACAGTTTCCAACAGTAACACAGCTTTTTTAATTATTTAGCAGTACATTTGCAACAACAATGCATAAAAAATGTAATATTTGCCCTTACGTAGGTCCTAGCGTGGCATATGACAGCAACTGGGTAGGAGGTATCGAGGTCCTTCGTTTAGCGTACTCGGCCATAAAAACTGGCCAGTGCGAATCAGTCATCATAGGAACGGCCAATTTGGCACTAAACTCCGAGTTCCAATGGATCTACAACGACATGGGACTGTTGTCCTCAGACGGAAGCACTAGAGCTTTTGACGCTGACGGTATAAAAATATCACAGACTTGTTACTAAAAATCTTAACGCTTCCAATTTACATTGCAGCTAGTGGGTATGGAAGGAGCGACGGTATCGTAGTCATGTACATCCAAAGATCGTCTGAAGCTAGAAGATCATATGCCAGTGTGCTAAGAGCAGCCACTCAGTTCGACGGAAACAGGAAAGGGGACCTTCTTACGATAGACCCAGACAACATGGCTGAATTTCTGGAGGAATTTTACCAAAAATGCACTGTAAAGCCTGAAGAGGTGGATCTCATCGAGACCTACGGATGCGCTCTTAAGGTAACACCTCCGTTATATTCCAGACATTTACTACATCCAATATTTCCAGGAAACTGATAGGAAAGAACTTCTAGCCCTGGAGAAAGTCTACTGCAAAAACCGCAAGGCCCCGCTTCAAATAGGCTCGGTGAAAACAATCACAGGACACAGCGAAGCTTCTGCCTCGTTATTCTCCATCGTAAAGCTCATCATCGCAATGGAAACAGAAACCATACCTGCGCATTTGCAATTCAAGACGCCCAATCCGGATATACCCGCATTGCACAACGGGAACATGGAGGTGGTCACCTACAACAAGAAATGGGACCCCAAATACGCAGCAGTTAACGCCATAGGTATAGATTCTTACTATGGACACGCGCTACTGAAGGCAAACCAGAAAAAGAAGAACCTCAAGGAATGGCCCATTCCGCCTCTGATCATCGCTTCGACCAGGACCCAAGAAGGCATAGACCAACTTTTGGAAACAGTTAGTCAGCCAAAAAATTACAGTACACAATAATTTAAAATTTGTTAATTTTAGGTAAAATCCAAGCCTAAGGATCCAGAATACTACCAACTGATTCAAGACGTGTTCGCGAAACCAATTCTGGGACATCTTTACCGAGGATACGCAGTTTTAGGACAGGATGTTAAACAAGAAACCGAGGTGTGTATTTATTGATAAATGTACGTCCCAAAAATGCATCTGTACTATTTTAGTATCACATGGGAAATAAGCGACAAATCTGGTTCGTTTATTCTGGTATGGGAAGCCAATGGTGCGGCATGCTCAGCGATTTTATGAAAATAGAAGTATTTGCCAAATCAATTCAAAACTCTCAACGAATCCTGGAGAAAAAGGGAGTGGATTTAATGAAAATAATCACTACCTCAGATAAAACTATTTTCGACAATATTCTGCATTGCTTTGTCGGCATTGCTGCTATACAGGTAACATTAATCAATTTAATGTCTCAATTCTCAATACAAGTCGATTATAAATCTAGATCGCGCTTACTGACGTACTAAGAGCTATTGGAATAGAACCCGACGGTATTATTGGGCACTCCGTAGGCGAATTAGGTTGTGCCTACGCAGACGGCTGTATGACGGCCGAACAAATGATTCTCTCTGCTTATTCCAGAGGAAGAGCTTCAATAGAAGTCTCCCTTATAAAAGGAATGATGGCCGCTATAGGTAACAATAAACATTGCTCCAAAAATCTTTGTTAATTACCATTAATTTAGGACTTGGATACCACCAAATCAAGGACAGACTCCCTCCGACTGTCGAGGTTGCATGCCGCAATGGGCCGGACAGTTGTACCATATCCGGTCCCACAGAAGACATGGAAAAGTTCGTTAAGCAACTCCAAGACGAAGGCGTGTTTGCTCGTCTGGTTAATGTAGCCAATATCGCTTATCACAGCCGTTATATCAAACCCGCCGCTCCCCTCTTGCTTAAATACTTAAAGGACGTTCTTCCTGAACCAGTCGCCAGGTCCTCAAAATGGGTAAGCACTTCTAATATGGAAGAGAACTGGAATACGGACTTGGCAAAGCATTCCTCCGCTGAATACCACACTAATAACTTACTCAGCGCCGTGTTATTCGAAGAAGGTTGTAAACACATCCCTAAAGATTCCATACTTATTGAGATCGCTCCACACGGGCTCCTACAGGCTATACTGAAACGGTCCGTAAAACATTCTACGAACATACCTCTCACTCAAAGAGGTAGTAAGAGTGGGGTCGACTTTTTGCTTCAGAGCTTAGGAAAGTAAGTGATTTTTTTTCGTAGTAAGTGTGTAGTATTGTAATCGTTTTATTTTCCAGAATGTACTTGGCTGGTTTGGACTTGAACGTTTCAAATCTTTATCCTAAATGTGAGTACCCTGTAAGTAGAGGTACTGCACATTTGGGCGATTTAGTACACTGGAATCACTCCGAGACTTGGAGAACGGGTCTGGAAGACAAGCTCCACGCCCTGATTGGTGTGAGAGATTTAACTGTTTCTCTAAACAGCGAAGAATTTAGGGAATGTGTTGGGCATAAGCTAAATGACAACGTCGTCATGCCAACGAGTTTCTTCTTAGTAAGTTTTAGTGTTTGCTTCCATTAAAAATATAATGTTTTCAATTTTAGAGCATCGTCTATCAAATTATTGCCAACATTACGACAGCTCGCAAGGAAATTGTCTTTGACAATTTGCTATTTAAGAAAGCCTTAACAATACCAAAAGTTGGTAGCGTGCCCCTCCATGCTATGGTGCAAAAAGGTAGTGGGGAGTTTGAAATTTTATCCGAAAACGAGATCATCCTGACTGGAAGAATGACGTTTCCACAATCCGATGATAAATTTTTGTTGGATCCCTACCCCACTGAGGTTTCTGAAGACAGCGTTCACTTATCCGGAAACGACGTTTACAGCGAACTACAGCACAGAGGACACAAATATTCCGGTCCATTCAAAGCAATTAAAAGTCTAACCATCGCCGAAAGAGGTAATGCTGGTATTTCCGTACATTTTTACGAAGCGTAAACTCAAAAAATTACAGGTTCTGTGAGCGTGGTGCAATCGGATAGCAAGTGGCCCATGTTGCTCGAAGCTTTGATCCAGCAACAACTGTTACAAGCCGGGGAGAAGACCCAAGATGTTTTTGTGCCGAGAACTATCCGGAAAATCGCCATTTCTGAAACTTTATTCTCTGCAGAAAAGTCTGAGGTAGATGTGGCTTACAACTACGCAACCAAAATAGTGTCCACCCCAGGGTTACAACTCATTAACATGGAGATGGTGCCTTTGGAAATTGAAAAGAAAGCAACTCGTCTGGACTCTTTCGAATACGCCCCCTTGTACAACAACAACTTTAATGTAAATGTAATGAAACCAATATTTCATTTAATTACTAATTTTTTTTGTTTTAGAAAATTGAAAATGGTATAAATTTAGCTCTACAGTTGGCGCTAACTAACTTTGACGATCCTAATCCTAGTAGTTTGGTGATTACAGAGTTAGAATCGGATAGCCTTCTAAGTGAGAATATAAAGAATGTTCTGAATGAGTACAACAACCTTTCGGTAAGTTGCACACTCTGGTCAAATATAATATACCAATGTACATTTTTTTAGGCAAACGTTAGCTTGGCGTCGGGAGTAAAACAGATAATTGTTCAACAGTCCTACCCTTTGCTTCTCATCTTGAATGATGTCGCTGGGGAAGACGTTTTAAAACTCGTAGCTTTATCCCACGCTTTTCTCCTAACCAAGACAGATAAAGCCTTATTATCACAACCCGAAATAATTCAAGTCGGTCAATTTAACGTGAATAATACGAGCTACTCTATTCTACGAAGGGTAAGTTTCAAACTAAACGATCATTATGTGGCACTAACAAATAATTTTAGGTCAACACTTCCCCGGTATCCGTTATAAACGTAAAAGGAGACACATTGAGCGTTAAAGACCTCAAACGTTCCTCTGTTTCATGGGCAACCGAACTGTTTTCAGCTCTATCTGAAGCCAAAACAAAACAAAAAAACGTTTTTCTGATTTCATCCATTGTTCCTGTAGAAGGTTTCAACAATTTTGTACAAGAATTGCGATCGTTGCCCGACAGTCAGTCGCTTCGAATAGTCTTCAATTTAGACAAAAAAACTGGCGATTTCAGCCCCATATTCAAACAGAATCTCACTCTTACAATAATAAAGGATGGAATTTTCCACGCATTTGTACCCATCGCCGTCAAATTCAAAGAGAACATCGTCCAGGATCAACTAACCAACAACATAATAAAAAATACTACCGTTAACTTTATAAGTGTTAACTTGAAGGACGAAACCATTAACCCGGCCTTACCAAAACGCAACGAGGTCGGAAATATCGATTATTCCGGAGTTACTAATACCGGACAACCGGTTATGGGTTTGGCGCGATTGGACAAGGACAACAACAAACTGGTTCCCGATCCAATTTTTACTTGGGATCTACCGGACCATCTTACCCTGGAAGATGGTGCCAGCATACCCCATGCGTATGTATCTGTAAGTTACAAGTATTTTCTTCCTATCTACGTGGCTATAATTATCTTGCGATTATAGGCGTACTATATGCTGATGATTAAAGCACGGCTACAACATGGAGATACAGTCCTGATCCACGCTGGATGTTCTCCGGTGGGTCTAGCAGCGATATCAATCGCGCAGTCCTACGGTTGTAAGGTATTCACAACAGTATCAGAGGAGTACCAGCGGGCACATCTCAAAAAGAAGTTTTCATTCGTAAGTGATTAAATATTCCATACGAATCAAATAAATTCCGATCTATCTTTTAGTTGAGGGACTTCGATATATTCTCATCAGAAAACTCCAGCTTCGAACCACAAATCAAGACTGCTACTGGAGGCAGAGGGGCCGAAGTAATACTGAACTGCGTCTCGGGAAGTCTTCTCCAAAACTCACTAGCTTGTATAGCTGATTATGGGAGATTCATCCAGTATGGAAAATATGACTTGGAAGAAGGCAACACTTTCGGATTGTACTGTTTCCTCAGAAACACCTCTTTCTACGCCGTGGATTTAGAAAACGTTTTCTACCAAGCCAAAGAGGTTAAAGAGGATATTAGGAAGTGGATGATCCAAGGACTGGAGGAGCTTGTTGTAAGACCCTTACATAGGGAAATCGTAGCTGATCAAAACATCGAGAATATCCTTAGGTAGGTTTGCTTTATTTACGAATATTTGTAAATTATTAATTGAATACTTTCATCATTCGCAGCACCATCAAGAAAAGTAGTAACATCGGTAAAGTGTTGATCAGTATCGACAACACTTTAAGCATAAACAAGTTGAATGTGAAGAAACCAAACAAATTCATTTGCGATTCCAAGAGTTCCTACTTGATTTACGGTAAGCTTTTATATTCTGGTACAATCCGTAGTTTATATCACTGTTTTTTTTTACAAAGGCGGAACAGCTGAAAACTGGACTGACATAGCCGAATGGCTGGTGCTCAGAGGAGCTCGAAAAATAGTCGTTTCCTCCGATTCTAAACCCCAACAGAACCACATCAATCGCCGCTTATCACTCCTGCAGGCCTACTACGGCGCCGACATTATAACAGCTCCGAACAAAGCTTACACCAAAGACGGCGCTGCTGAGTTACTATCGGAAGTTTACTTCCTAGGAGCAATCCAGGGAGTGTTCCTGTTGCCAAACAAATCTACCGTATCCAAAAGCAGTGACATTAAACCTGTGCAATACATCGACAATGCTTTGAGAACAACAGCACCAAAAGCTTTGTTTGTCAATTTTATCAACTCAGCTGGGGGAATATGCCAGGTTAGAGCAGATGCAGGATTCTCTACTTACAACATCCAATGGGACAAGGACATGACCATCCACGAGGCTATTTCTGGTTTGGATGACATATTGAGATGTAAGGTAAAGAACGTCTTCATAAAGAGCGACAAATCTACGGACAGCAAGCAGGAGAGCAGTCAGGATCTATTCAAAAGTATGGGTATTGCAAATGTAAAAAAGAATCTTTAGGATTAAATTATTTAATTTCAGAACTGAGCCAGATGCTGCCAACACCTCCTGATATAATAAGAGATCAGAAATACGCGTCTAAAGAACCAACTTTGGTTCAAATAGTTACCGAAGGACCAAGGGAAATACGAGAACTGGCGCCGGTATTCGTGATCCCAGGATTGGCTGGACGAAAGGAATTGGATGAGATGGCCATGACCTTGTTGTATCCCACGTTCCTCGCTGTCTTGCCATCGACGCCTTGGTCAATTAAAGACATGGCAGTCGCCTATGTGGAGGTAAATGTCGTTTGAAATGTTTAACAACAAATTCTACACATTTTTTTTTTTAGAAAATGCGCGAGATATGGCCTAAAGGCCCCTACAACATAATCTCTTTGTCATGGGGAGGAGCACTAACTATAGAAATAGCAAGGATACTGCACAGATCCAAGGCCAGTATTCATTTATACCTTATCGACAGCGCTCCCATTACCATACAGGCTACCACCAAACACTTAGGAGAAGACGAAGTGGAGAGGGAGGTTAACCTTTTGAGCAGAGTACTGAAAATTAACGACGTTAAGGTAAGAATGTAAGTGAGGTAGCTAGGAGGGAAATAACTGATGTCTTTTAGGTTCTCAATGATCTCAAGCAATATCCGAATTATGAGTCTAGGATAAAGAAATGTTTAGAGAATTTCGAAGGACAGGAAAAACACAAAAACTTCCTTAGGGAAGGACTAGTCAATCTGAAGGCTCGCGTGGAAGATGCATCTGGTTTCCAACCCACCGAGGAATTGGTTTCTGGCAGCGTTCATCTTATAAGGCCTGGGGATTCAAATAAATATGACAACTGCGGGCTAACACTGGTAAGTAAAACTACAATCGCATTAAAATGATAATTCCCTTTGTGTAAAAATTGTCTTAATTTCAATAGAACGTCTTTTGTAGATGCTTAAAATATTGGAGAAACTGAAATAACATTTTACTTGTCGAAAAAAATGACACTTCCCACTAAACACGAAACGTAAATGAAACGTTGCAAATGAGATGTTTTACTAAACATTTGAAACATTAACTAGAAACGTTTCTGTTTCATTACAGAAATGTAGCACTTGAAAACTTATTTAGTGAAACATAGCCGAAACGTTACAATTGAAGGGAGTTTGAAACATTACTCGAAACATTACCTTTCGATCTCTGAAACATAACAGACGAACAACCCTTTGCTATTTTTGCTTATCTTATGGAACAATCGGCATTAGTTAAATTTTGCTCTCAATCCTTCTCAAGCGTTAGTTCATTTGCCTTTGTTATATAGAGATAATTAGAAAAAAAATGTGGTAGCATATTTATAACACAAGTCTAGAAAAAATGTAATGTTTGTGACTTGCGTAGACTGCGCGTAACAGCCCGAGTTTATTTGTGTGTTGTTTCAATTCGTATTATGTTAGGTTAGGTTTGCGGTTTGTCAGTTTGCTTGGTTTCGTTGTTATTCATCTTTACTTTGACGCTATTTTATGTGATAATTTGTAGTGTGTGCAGTTGTGGTTATTGTAAGGTGCATATAAAATAATGAATATTGATGCAAAATGTTTAAAACGATATGTGTGAAGAGATTTCCAATTTTGCGTCACATCTACCTAAATATAGTTATACCCACTACCTATTACAGACAAGAGGACAAGGGACAAGAACTAAGAAAATGGAACAACTATACGTTTTGATATAATTTGAAGAGCAACTACTTAGTCACTGAAAACTATTTGAAATATGAATGAATCAAGTGAAATAGACGTCATTTATTTTATATTTTGTACAAATGTTTATATTTGTTTATGTGTAGAGGCATGCTTAAATAAAAGAGTTTAGGTATACCTACAGATATTTACTTTGTCAAGATATCATTTTGTATCCTTATTTCTGCTGTATAATTTATTATTATTAAAAGGATATATGTTATATTGACCATGCGTAGAAGAAATTATATAACTTTATATTATTTTTCAGTAATGTTATTTGTTTTTCATGTACCTACCATTTTAAGATTCCTAATCATAACTAACTTTTTCTAATTATCAGTTCGTCATTGTTACAATATTCATGAAGGTCTCAACATTACAAAATTTCCATTTCAGAAGCGTATTTGAACTATATAAAATGTGTAGCTTTTTTTAATGCTTCTGATATTGTTTTGTGATATTTTTATTTGTACGATGAATGGCAAAATTCATAATCCTTATTAGAAACTTTTTTCAGTGGCTTCTCAAAAATAAAGAAATTCTTAGTAAAAGTTGCCGCATCCCCAAACTAGAAGAGCATATTTATTTTTTTTAATATACAATGTAACTTTTTTTAGTTCGAATTAAGTCATTCACAATACAAATAAAAATATCACAAAGGAGTATTAGAGATATTTAAAAAAATAGTCATACTATTTATACTATTTCAAAAACGCTTTTGAAATGAAAATGATCTAAAGTTGAGAGCATTATGAGAACAATATGGTAATAAAATTATTATGTTACTCAAACATTTATGAAAATATACTGAAACGTAAAACAAAAATATCGAGGGCATACATGGAACATAAAAAGAATGTTACTGAAACCAATTTTTTGAAACGTTTCATTGGAAACGTATTTTGGGGAGGACATCTTGGGCTTCTAGAACGTTACCAGAACGTTGCATGGATTTTTTATGAAACGTTTCAAGAAAAATGGAAACGTTTCTGAAACATGTCAGAAACTGAAAAATGTTTAGTGGGTTGCAATTAATATATTTTGCTTTCTGGGAATTTACGAGCCATATAAATTATACTTTGAATTATCCGAGATTATCCCAAATAAATGTATTTAGAAAAAGAGATTAGAATAAGCAGGCTGTAAACATAAATTAGTTGTTGTTTATTAGGGTACATAAGCACAAACCGAGTAGGTAATGACACGGATAAGTGTTAATTAGGATAGAGTAACAAAAGTAGGTACCTGGGGACGAGGATAAAACCGAAAACAATTCCTGCTCGGTTATGTCTCGTGTTACCAGCGAAATTATAATAAAGTTTTCCATGCCACTTAGAGTTTTTCTCCTCACTTGAAGACCAAACCACTATACAATATATTCATTTTTTTACAGTTCTGCAGCCAGACACCGCAAATAGTGTTAGTCAACGGAGACCATTTGAGCATCATCGGGAGCACCGAGACGACAGACTATATCAACAAGACTCATCAACTGATATAATTCCTATGTATTCCAGTCCTTGATAATAAAATACTGACTACAGCAAAGCAAACTACTGTGTTTTAATTTTCGTTCAACAAAATGAACCAGCACAGTTTTACGACCAATTTGCAACACCATATGTAGACGGATAGTACTAATGGAATAAATCAGATTTATAGCAGCTATTTTCACCTGTCATCCCGCTTATTATGTACTCAGTGTCAGAACTGCTCTTACATACCTTTTACACACATACAAAAGTCATATTAATCACCTGATATTAAAAATAAACATTCTACTCACGAATGAGATCGCCCAATGCGAACTTAATATTCAGATTACGTCTGGACAAATTAATAGCACCATGGCCATAAATTGGCGATTATTATACCCGAAATCGACGAAGTGCGTTAATCTATGATTAGATGCGATTAAATTTATAAACAAACGAATCGTATAAACCAGAGGATTTGTTTAGGTTTCTATGGAATGAGTTCAAACTCCATGTCGCGGTCAAAAAATCACGAAAATAGAGCGAGCTTAGGAGTGCCAATGTCGGCAAGAGATAATTATAGACGGTAAATAAAATTAACTAGAATCAACGTTCTGAAATTGTTACTCTGAATATTGTTCCATTGTAAAATAATGTATTTTATTGTTCATACCAATTTTTGCAAAACTGAAAACTGAAAACGGAAATACTTTTTGAGAACACCAAATATATTTTGTTATTAGCCCTATTAGTTGTGTTTTATTTTAAATTGAACAAATGAAAAAGATAGCCAACAGAGCCCAAGACAAATTTTCCATAACTTTTAAAATGTTCAAAATGTACCAAATTAATGCTGTTAAAATACTGCTAACGTCCTACTATAAAGAAAGTAAAACACGCACATAATAAAACAAATAGGTAGCAGTTTTAACTCTAAATTAAACAACTTCATTTATTTTTTAAATAATTAAGAAAAATACACGTAGTCTAGATCAAAACACTCTAGAAACAACAAAAAACACCATTCGTCGCAAAAGTCAAGATCAGTTTCTATATATAACTTTATCATTTCACAGTAATTCAAAATAAGTGACGGTTTTATGTATTATTTTAATAAACATTCAGTATTATGATGAAGCATGGGTAAGTTGAATAAGTGCAAAAAGCATTTGTTTTAATTTATAAGAAAATTATTTTATCTGCCGAAAGAAAAAGTTTGTCAAAAATAAGTACTTAGTATCTAATAACTAATTATAATTATTCTATGATTCTATTCTATGAATAGTCCAGGAAATATTTTTCGCTTATAACTTTTTTCCGTTCATTTCCTCGAGAAAACACTAAAGTACTTTTTTTCGAGCGAAAAAAAATATTGATTAGATCAAAAGTTATAAACAGAAGAAGTTTATTTATGACTTTTGAATTAAACATTTATATACTGCGTTATTATTACCAGAACGTTTTGGCATCGCTTCCTTATCACTGTCTAATAACTCACACGAGATCTGGAATCGGTAAGTTGAATAGTTTACAAATAATGGACTTATAAACAAATTAACTAATTATTAGTCTGGACGATCCCGAAGATCTTCTACAATCCCACTAATTTTTTTCAAGGTAGATTTCATAATATTACACTGAAATCTATAATTTTTTTTTAATTTCAAATTTGCAACCTGGAATTTTTTTTTATTTTTTAGCCTGTGTTGCAAAATGAATATACGACGCGCGAGCCTGGTATAGTTATATATTATTACATATTCTGAAAGCTTATGAAAAGAGCTTTAAGTTAAAAAAAAAAACATCGTCAAGATTCGTTGAAAAATAACGGAGTAATAACTGTCAAATATATTATTTTCAAGCGAATTTCGCTTTTTTAACGACAGGACCATGAATATTATCGTCATTTTCTTCGGACTCGCTGTCGTTCGCTTCCTCCACCCTTCCGCCGCGTCACGGCTCGCCGAAAAATCAAGCGACCCACTGACTTGACAATATTTCTTATGCACTTAACATACTTCCACAAATAAAATATTTTTACCTGGGAAAGTACTCGGGTTGCCGGTATTTTTTTTGCCGCTACCAACCTAATTTGTTTAACAATCGGCCGTCAACTTTGACAGTCTGTAACTCCGTTATTTTTCAACGAATCTTGACGAATTTTAACTTAAAGCTCTTTTCATAAGCTTTCCGAATATGTAATAATATATAACTATATCACGCTCGTGCGTCGTATATTTAATTTTGCAACTACGGCTAAAAAATAAAAAAATTCCATATTGCAAATTTCAAATTAAAGAAAATAATATATTTCAATGTATTATTATGAAATCTACTTTGAAAGAAATCAGTGCGGTTGTGGAAGATCCTCGGGATCGTCCAGACTAATAATTAGTTAATTTGTTTATAAGGCCATAACTTGTAAACTGTTCAACTTACCGATTCCAGATTTCGTGTGAGTTATTAGACAATGATAACGAATGGTACGAACATTCTGGTAATAATAATAACGCAGTTAAAATGTTTAATTCAAAAGTCATAAATAAACTTCTTCTGTTAATAACTTTTGATCTAATCAATATTTTTTGACGCTCGAGGGATAGTTTTGTAGCTCTTTTGAAGACGAAAAAAAGTACTGTACTGTTTCCTCGCGGAAAGGAACGGAAAAAAGTTATAAGCGAAAAACAATTATACAATTAATCAGCCTGTAAACAATCTTCCCCCTATTTTTATAACTGTGGAAACTAATATGTTATTGTATATAATATTTAGCATCTATAGTGATAAATTCAGCTTGCCGAAACAAAAAGTAGCGAATTGGTCATTTCCCAGCTTATTTTTCTGGCCTAGAAAATGCTAGAATCTCCAAAATAAAATTACAAATCACTAATTGTAGTAAACTTGTTGACATCAAAATAACATATTTCTAAATATGTTATAATAACATTAAAAATCCACGTTCTACTTGCCAAAATTGTAATAATAACTGCCAAACACATTTAGTTCAACATTGTTATTATACTAATTAAAATATACAGGGTATGATTAAGATGCACGGCCAGACTTTAATGGCAAATCTACGTCATATGTTAATAAAAAGTCCTACAATCTCATTCGTTTTCAACATACGGGATATTAAAAAATAATGAAAATGTATGGTTTATTTCAAGTTCTAAAGAACAAAACAAACTTTTCACTAACGACAAAAATACATATATTACTAAATTTTGCTTTACATAATATGTTCCATAACATAATGCAATTGCGAGTATGGTGTACTTTGGTAGTTTACGCAAAATTTTTAATAAGGCGAATGTTAGATTTAAATTTTACTAGCTAAAATCTTTTATTTAGTTCTTCAGACATATGCTTAATTCAGGTCTCCAGATATATGTTGGAAAAATATTACTGATATGTTCTTTTGTAAGTTGTAATTTTAAATAGTTTTTTTATTATTTTATCATTAAATTGGAATTTATTTCGACATAGTCCAAATATATATCTCGAAATACACTTTATCGCAAGAATAGGTCAAAATCCTCATTTTTTGTTAATACATAGTTTAATTATTTTAAGTTAGAAATGTTGTTTACAAAAGAGATGTGTCTCATTTGTTGCAGAAAGAAATTTACGTAATTATTTCTCACAATTAAAGAGGCCTTAAAGTTAATTCCAGTTTCATAAGGTTATCGAAAATAAGATAACGAATTTGGTAACACATTTTTAAATCTAAACATTGAAGGAAAAATATTTCATTAAAATGTAAAATTAAGAATGTATTTTGTTTGTCTTACAGAAATTGCAGATTAAATATATATTATATTTTTAAATCTTACTGACTTTGCTAATTTAAATGTTGTGTTAAGTTTTTCATCGCACTGGTTTTTAAGAAAGCGTTTATTGTATATTGTATGTTACAGAATTGTATTCTGTATGATTTGTCTTTATGTATAATTAAAAAATATATATATTTTACTCTAGAAAATGTGTAATTTCTCCATTATTATATACATGGTGTTTCATAACTCTACCGACACAGAGCAGGCACGTGGAGAGGATCTTAAAATATGCCGATTTGTATAATATTTTTTCTTGGGATGTCCGTTGAAGAGATAATTGGCCTTTGAAGATGAGTGTTAAATTTTGAAAAACAATATTTCAGCAATGCCTTAACTAGAGCAACCAAATTTTGTACATGATTTGCGTTTATTGTTATATTTAATTGGTAAAAATATGAATTTGTTGGAAGTCCAATAAAGACCGAACTAGGGGTAGGATGCCCTTAAAATGTTACCGATTTTTTTATCAGTATGCCAATTATTAAATAGTTTTACCAACACTACAGGAAATCTAATTTAAAAATTTTTTTACACTTACAAATTTTTGGAGAAAATAACGGTATTTGAGAAAATCGGGATTTTGTGAAACAGCGTCATTATTAATTGAATCGAGAGAAAAGTAAATTAGATATGCAGTTTTACGACTAGTAAGTTATATGATTTCATGTCATTTTTGACGTTTACAAAAAAGTATCAAGAAAAAGCAATTTCATTAAATTATATTCTTTATTTTGTTTTTAACATATTAAAAAAGAGGAACAACAAAACATTAACAAATGCAACTTTAACCACATGAACTACCGATATAGTTAAATCACTACAATAACTGTTGAAAATGGCCACCATTTTCTTTAATTCATAAATCTGCCGAAAATTAAAGTCTCCTCTGTGCAATAACTGTGGATCATTTTTTATGGCGTTGCATTTATTATTTATACGATTTCATAAATCTGCTTCAGATACAACCCGTGTAAAATAAACAAATTCTTTTAAAGCACCCCCAGAGAAAGAAATCAGATTTATTCAGATCTGGTGATCTTGGTGGCCAATTTTCTGGACAATTGCTTCCTCGTCCTATCCATATATTCGGGAAAGATGGGCTCGATCGGTTAAATAGTTTTTGCAAAATTCCATTTATTTATCCCATATTTACAAAAAAGGCCCATTTTTAAATGACTATTCCGGGGGCAGGGTTATGACTAAAACATTCTTTATGGGCTCATTTTCTTCGAAGGGGCACCAAGTATCCTCTAGTTAAAATTTTTTTTTTTTTCAAATTTAGTTGTATACAGGGTGATTCAGAACTTATCCAAAAAAAAAAAATCTGGATGTATAGGGGACCCTTACAAATACAATTTTGTAAAGAAAAAATCAAAAAGGGTAGTTCGAAAATGATTTAAAATACACTTCTGCACGGCACTGGAAACTGGTCCACTGTAAAACCTGACCTCGCACAATGCGACCGGCATGGCGGTGTGATAAAAACGGACAAAAACTTTCGCAAGGAAAGAAATATGTAAATAGAATTTTATGGCACCTATTTTATATCGGCTAATTCAACTGCTTTTGCCTGTAATAATTAATAAAATTAATTTTGTGTTTTTGAAAAATAAAATCATTTGACATACCCGATGTTACAACAATTGTTCAAAATTTTATCCACCAATGTGTAAACACATTTGGGACCGTTGTACTCAGTTTCTACGAACACAAATGTTGTCTTGTTTCACCATAACACAAATGCTTCACCATAAATTAAAACGATATCCATCAACTCCGAGTACACGCAAACCATTTGTGACACTAAGTAATTATTTTTGACACTAACTACTAAAAACATATTCTAAACACCACAGATAACAGGTAAATATCGCAACGACGATTGCAAAATCCGAATTCAGTATTCGGAGTCGCTGAGGCACGTGGCGAATGACGCTAGAGATTACAGTTGTCCAGCTATGTAGTGGTTGAATGTACTATAACTTCAATATTTTTTTTCTCGGAAACTATAAGGATTTTACAAAATTTTTTTTTACGATATTGATTCTATTTCTCATGCTGCATCTATTCCCAAATTTTTTTGGATAAGTTGTGAATCACCCTGTGTAATTGTTACCAAATAGAAGGCACTTTTTTCTCTAATAAACAAGTAAAATAACTCCGCGGTTTTTAACTTTTGAAAGAAGTTATATACACCATTCGAAAGCTCGTAAAAAAACTAAAAATTGAAAAAAAAAACAAGTTTCTACGACTAATAGGTCCGGAGTTAACAATTTTTTTTTTAATCACAGAGCAATTTGTTATAAACATTAAGACCTGAAATTTTAACATTTTATAAATAAATGTTTAAACTTTATGCCCTGTTAATTTTAACTGAATTTGGCCATAATTGATCAATCCAATAACTAGATGGATTTCACAAGGTCTAACGACACTTACAGTGTACAATAATTCAATAAACAAAGAAATCTAAATAAAAAATTTAGATAAATTTGGAACGAATACACTGAAGATGAATTTTGCGAGACAAAACGTCTGAATCTGGTTCGGGCTGAGGCAGTACAGTATTGGGGGTCGTGAAGGCTTGCAAAAAATGTAATAAAATTTCTAGGGTCGTATTTAAAAAAATGAAGTTGATGATGGTCCTGGAGAGACGAAACGTTACAAATAAAAATTGATTATGTCATTCGATGGAGGGCAAAAAGTGGCCATGAGAAAGTGTTTTTCTTTTTTCAATATCACCTCAAACAAAGCTGAAATGAAACAAAAGCGGATTTCCAAAATTTCGTTTTTTTTCAAATATTTCGAAAACTAATCATGTTAGCCTTGATTTTTTAGAGGCATAGTGTTGGTTACCTGATTACCCAACTTTGCCCCCATTTAAGCTACTTCGTACCTCTTACCGTTTCCGAGATCCCTGTAGTGAGAAGCGAATTTGTAACAGCCTGTATAAATTCGTAAAATTACATTTAGCGTGTATTAAATATGAAATATAACGGATTTTTTCTGAAATATGTGTAACTGGCGTTTTCTGAAGTACATCTGGAAAAATTACAATTGAACATGGAAATGGTGTGGGGAGGGGACGGCACGCTATTATTTCGACGATGATATACCTAAAAAATTGCAAAAAGAAACATCGTAACCCACCGGGTATTCCGGCACACCAAAATAACACCGCACCGATGCGGCGGGCGCCCAACTTTCGGACTCCCATGGACAGTTCCGAGCGTGGTATAGCAGCCGCTGCGCGAGCGCTTCCCTGCGGCACACGGCTGGCTTTTCCGAGCGCGATTTCCTAGTTTTCCTCAGTGCCCCAAAGTTAATACCAGTGCTCGATAGTGTACGCGGATTCACCCCCTATATGGACCCAATGCGGCATTACTCTAGGTGACGCACTCGCTCAAGGTAACCCGCTTGAATTCATTCTGCTACCTGGTGCATTATAAAGTCGACAGACGAAATATTTTTTCGTCCTGGCAAACACGAACGCGTTGTTTACTAAAAATAATCGGTGCAGGTTAAGTGGCATTAGACAAACAAGTTTTTCTGCGCGACAGAAAGGACCTTTCCTTTATTAATAACCTTAACAGGTCGCGGAATTGCCTCCAAGCCAAGTTGGTCGGCTCGCACCAGTTCTGTCCCGCTAGTTATCGATTTCGTTAATTTAATAAGTTAAATTTCGGGATACAAAAAACATCCCATTCAACGGCTTCACGGAACTATTCAAAAAGCCGCTTATTTTAAGCTGGGGATATCGATTCCGGGTAAAAGATAACTTGTTATTGATTTCATAAATAAACTAGTAGAGCTTTTTAAATATTATGTCGACCAGTGCGAGTGTTTGCCCGTTAAAAATATCATTAGTTGGTTTTTGGTATTGATCCCGTTTAAACTAATGTTGTTGCTGAATGGAATGATAACAATCGATAAGCTAGGTCGTCGTGTGCACTACACATGACAATGCATGCATGACTTTGACCACAGAGGAGTACCCAGTTATTAAAATCGATTAGGCGGTAAAGAGTATTTACTTTATACAATATACAATACACCAACATCAACTGCAACGTTGCCAGTTGTGTTGGTGCGCTAGAATACAATGAGATTTTTAAAAACTGTCTAAAGTTCTAGAAGTGGCACAGCTGAAAATCTGAAGGTCGGAGTTAGGGATTCGTCAAGTGAAGTAACTTGAAGTTTTTAAAATTTTTTTTCGAAATTTGCTCTTTGTCATTTTTGATTTTTTATCACTTGCCCATTATTATTTAATTCGCTAGTACTTGACTTGATCCAACTAATTTAAAAAGTGCTTTCTAATTTTTAGAAAAATGTTTAATTACACTACTTGTGTATTGACTAAATCATGGAAAGTAGATTTATTTTAATGTTTTTTAACCTCTCGATAGAACAGAAACTAACAAAATATCTTATTGGTCACTTTTCAAACAATTTGGCATCAACATTCAAAGCCTACTAATTAACTTGTTCACTGTCGTGCATTTTAGTACAGAGATGTCGAAAATTACAATCGTCTAAAAAATTATACCTTTCTAATAAAAATTTACATAATAATTGTAGATAAAAGTGTAGTTATTTCGAAAAATCGTAGAAAGTTATTAAAAAATATCCAAATTTATAACTTAATATTTATAAAAATGCTTCCATGTTTACGCCATTGATTATTTTATTTTTTTGGCAATACCACGGAACTGTATCCTTGTTATGTTTTTCTATTTTAAACCGTTCCGAAATCAAGAAATTTAAAATTTTATTTTAAATATCTGTAGGGTCTTATTTTCTTAAATACTAATTGACCAACATTTTATTAAGAACGTTTCTATAATTTTCTATGTTTTATTACCATTGTATATTTTGGAAGACACAAATATGAAAAATACAAAAAATGTTGATGTTGAAAAATGGTCTGTATGTAACAAAATCTGCCATGATTTCAAATACCTAAAATCCAGTAAACCTTTTTTCATTATTTATTAACATTTCTGTATGAGATACCATAAAATGTTGTCAAAGAAATCTTCAAAAAATCTGAATGTCTGTAAAATTTCAAGACATTGATTTTTTGCTTGATTTCGTTCTTTTTGCTATTGCCCTTTGAGTATGAGATAGGACAACATGTTATTAAGAAAGGCTTCTTACAAGGAAGAACTTAGTATATGTGAGAAACTTTAATACCTAGTTTTAGAAAAATTTACAATCAAGGAACATGTTAAAGTTGCTTTAGAAGTTTTGCACTCATATACGGTTTGTTATTCTGAGAATCTTTTTCAATATTTTGTGATATCTCGTAGTGTATTGAAATTTTGCACAATAGTTCAGTTTTTCATTCTTAAAAATATTTGTTAATAATATTTTGTTGTATCTCATACAGAAATGACATTTATTTATTTTTCACAATAACGTTTTTTTTTTTCTTATGCTAATGCTGTATATCAATTTTGAATCTTCATATTCTTGCCATTTTTAACCTTACATTAATTTTGAAGTATTTAAGAAAATTAATACGAAATTAATTGTTTTACTGAAGTTGTTTAATTATGTTTTTAAGCTTGAATATTCGAAAACACACAAGGCGAATTTCTAGCAATTGTTTCACACTCTTGTGATATGAAAATATAAAATACGTTTTTGGACAAAATTAAAAAGAAGGAAGTGCAATTTTCAAGTACTTGAAATATATCTACTTGACGTGACTTTGCATTCAATCACTATTACTTGATTATAAGTTAAGTAAATCGGTTTGAAATTAAATCAGGCCTCGAATCCCTTGTGAATGTAAAACTGCAACTGCAGTTTCATTATAAGAACGTAATATATTTTGAAAATGTCGTGATGGTACGTACCACCTAGATATAAATCCAAAACAACTGAGCTTAATGCTTTATAATAGAAAAATTAAGGAATTTATCTTCAAATTATTAAATTTGAAACATTTCCTAATATTAAATACTTTCTAAAACACAAACTATCGTTTTGGAATATTTACAACAGTATTACTTGACAAAATTATGAAATTACTTTCTTTATCATGAAGCAATTCTCTGTCAAATTCAAACACATGCTCCACGACCCAAACCGAACCAAAATATATCGGAGACATTGTTTATTTGCCAACAATACGTAACATTCAAACTCCGAGAACTAAAAATATAAACTAAAACTATGTTACTGGACATGAGAATGTGAATGGACGCACAAATATTTTATAGATGATATTTTGCCATAAATAGCATTTACTTTTCGTCTAAATTTTCCCAACTACCAATGCAGGCAATTTAGATGGCTTGTTACCATTTTCATAAAACAGTTCATGTTATTTTCAAAAAAAAGAAGGCGACTAAATTTTGTAAAATAATTTTCAACAAACGCCTATTTTTTTTTTCAGGTAAAGTACATTCACAAATCTAAGAGTATTCTTTAAAAAATATTTCAATTCATCATATCACTCCCTACAGAATGTAGTTGTATGAGAAAAGGACGATAGTCCGAGGTACAGTTCTTTTAAGAATTTTAAAGAAATGATTAGCTTCTAACCTAACCTAACCTCGAGCCTAATCTAATCTAACTGCTCTAGACACAATACCTTATTTCCATATCGTCTTCAGAAACAGCAACATTGTCGTTGACTGTGATATCTTCAAGCACACAGGTTAGGTTAGGAGTCAATAATAATTTTTAAGATTCTTAAAAATGTGACACTCTGATTATCATCCTTAGTCAGTAATGTGTAAAATTCTCAAATTTATAAAATACCAACTGAAAAATCGTTTATTTAAAAAATTATGGAAAATTTTTTGCCATAAAATGTTTCAATCATTTGACATTTTGCCAATGAATCATCAATATCGGAATTATATTCATAATATGGACCTACACATGCTTGACAAACTGAGAAATCAATTTTTCGCTTGTAGGAGCAATTCACCTCAACCTGGCATGTAATTTTGCAGATCGATCCTTATTTCCGGGGATCCTACGTCTCTTTCACCGTGAAAACGTCAGCTTAAATTTCAGAAAGCATAAATTGAAAACGCATTTGCGAAACAAAACTCTAGGGCGTCCCTGTTTATTGTATAGTATCAGGATAAATGTAAGGAACACCAAATAAAATTTAAGAAGTTTAATAGTACGAGTATGAGCCCATGCACCAGTTTAAACATTTTGCTCTAAGTACAGATCATTTGGCTTAATTTAATTACTATACAATTAAAGTAAATTTTCGGTTAAAGTATATTCAGAAGCAAGAAGGGGATATAACGGCAACCGTATCTATCCCAGATGGTTTGGTTTGATATTCTCGTTATAATTACTAGATAGTGACTATTGATGCCACAGCGGGTCAACAATTAGGTCAAATATATTCTGAATTATTTACCATTATCCGGGTATTTGTTTTAATGTGGATTAGAGGCAGCGTTGGTAGTAAAATTAACTTAAGAAATCCTTATTAAAACCATTATACAGGGTTGAAACTACCATATTTCGAAGTATTTGATACTTTTTTTATTAATGAATACCTAAATATCGTTATATGGGGGTAATTAGTATTTATTTTATCAAAATGTATGGTTTCAACTAAAGACTCATTTCTGTAAAGGCTATTTTCGGATTGGTGGCTCCCCTGACGAAATATTCGAGTGCGCAATTTAAAATATTTTGTCCTTGAAATAACCTTTCAAGGTCATTCCAAACAAGAGCCTTATGTACATACCTAAACGTAAAATTTTGCGCCATTTCGAATCCGGGGTCAAAAATAGGGGTTCCTATTTAAAAAATTAGATTTCAAATGACCTTGAAGGGCAATGTCAAGGTTAAATTGAAGGTCACCATCCGGTATTCCCTCCGAACCCAACAACTTTCGTAAGGGTTATTTTCGGATTGATGGCTTTCCTGACGAGATATTCAGGTGCGTAATTTAAAATGGGACACCCTGTATCTACAGGCTGTTATAAATTCGCTTCTCACTACAGGGATCTCGGAAACGGTAAGAGATACGAAGTAGCTTAAATAGGGGCAAAGTTGCGTAATCAGGGGACCAACATTCAAGGCTAACATGATTAGTTTTCGAAATATTTGAAAAAAACGAAATTTTGGAAATCGTTTTTTTTTTCATTTCAGCCTTGTTTGAGGTGATATTAAAAAAAGAAGAACACTTACTCATGGTCACTTTTTGCCCTCTATCGAATGGCATAATCAATTTTTATATGTAACGTTTCGTCTCTCCGGGACCATCATCAACTTCATTTTTTTAAATACGACCCTAGAAATTTTATTACATTTTTTGCAACACTTCATGAACGCCAATACTGTATTGCCTCAGTCCGAATCAGATTCAGACGTTTTGTCTCGAAAAATTCATCTTCAGTGTATTCGTTCCGCAAATTTATATA